AAAGCATCAGGCACATTCACAGCAAATCTGTCTCTCTCCCATTTCCCATGACAATAATTACATATAATAAAACCCCACCCACAAGTGAAGCAAGCAGCTACAGAGCAACCTCCTCCACCTCTTCCTCAGCATGACTACACAGCTGCCACTGCCCAGTCCAGGACAGAGGCAGAGCATCCCCCTTTCTGCTACTTCAGGAATCACCCTTCTGGAGGCAAACCCCCTCTCCCTCCTCCACCCAGTGCTTACACCATTGAGCACCAGGGAATATTCAGACTAGGTAGTATTTACCTACAACAAGCTGAAAAAAACCTACATGCCACATTCAAAGTTTTCCATCTAACTACAACACTGCTCATTTTGGGATTAAAACCAATTCATATCCTCTGACCTTCCCAGAAAACCACTGTCTGCCTCTTTATAGCCCTCCAGTGCAGGGTACACATACAAGAGGTTTGGAATGGGAGGTGCCATCAAACATGTGGCAGCCCTTTTAATCTCTGAGCCCCTGACAAATGATAGTGACTATAAGAGTTCCACCAAATTTAGCAGCTCACATTCCTCCATGCACAAGACTCACTTTTACAAACTATTCTTTTTAAGTGGGCTTTTAAAAGTGCCCCAAGAATTGCACTCCTTCCACTGAACCTTCCTGCATTAATCTCTGATAGATTCCACACAGTACATAAATAATGGTACATGCTTCATTTTAGGTATGCACCTCATTAAAATGGTGCTACTCTCTTATAGGTTTTATAAACTTCAGCTGCTCCCTGAACTAATGTATGCTACAGAGGATGAAAGGCTCAACCCCATCTTTGCCCTACACTAAAAGGAATATCATATTACCTTGAGAAGACAACTGACTCAGATAGATTTCCGTCAAAGAAGTTCGTCACTTTTATGAAAAGACTGAATTCCCTTGGTATCTTAAATAGAATTTGACCTGATTTGTGAAGCTGACGGCCTAGAATCAAATGATTTAAACAACTCATCTACCTTTAATGCAATGTCTTAATTGGTTTTCAATGATAACATACAAATGGAGAGAATACATACCATTTATTGGTTAAAAATAAAAATCAGCCCAAAATACTGCTCATGTTTAAGCTGCATACAGCAATACTTTTACAAAGCCAAAAAAGAAAATGTACTTTAGTATTAGTTTGGACATAAGGTATCTAGATGGTATATTCCCTGTGGAGCAGAAAGGCTATCACCCTGCTAAAACAAATGAAAGCACACTAAAATTCTGTTAAAGGTTTAGTATTTCAGAGAGACTTTGATATTAGTCTCTGTAAGTAATTCAGAAAAGCAGGAAGAGAGCACATGAAAGAACCACAGTAAGTGCACACTAGGTATTGCACCAATTTGGATCCAAAGCGATCAACCACTACCCATAAAGCAGGTGTCTCAGCTAAAGTGCAGAACTATGAACTGGTCTTGAATCTACACTGCTGAAATAAAAGAGATATGTAATGTATCACCATAAAGAACTGTGTACTTCATTTAGATCCAAGATAAGAAAATAATAAATTTTTGGTCATATCCCAAGAACATAGAAACTAAAGCTATTACTTTTTGTGACAGGGAATTTGAGAGGAGAGTTGCTAAGGGTAAACACACAGTACATCCCTGCATACATGCACTGCTAATGGTATAGCACATTATATCCCTCAGCTACAAATGGTTTAGTTGTGTACACCTGTGCCCAACGTCCATTGTATACAAAAGAAATTATCAGAGCAAGCCCAAATAAAAGAGATAAGGTGGCTGATAAAGACAGCTGCTGCTTTCTGAATGGTTGTGAAGCAGCTCCTGACTTTCCTCCAGATCTTTGTCCATGTTGAGGAAGCAGAAAGACTAACAAGGAAGAGACAAAAGTACCTCTGAGGGTCATCATCACCACTTATGCACCAGTTACTCTTTGTGTATATACCTGCTGCAGATAAAAGGGGAGCCTGCTCAGTGTTGGCTCAGGTACCTAAAGACACTCTTCCCATCCCAAAAGACAATAATCTACTTGAAGAGATCACAGATACAGAATACAAGTTTTAGGCAATGTGGGGAGTTTACACAAACACACCTGGACTGAGCTGGTCACTCACCAAATCATCTGTTGCTGCTCCATGCCCAGCACTGCAGCAGGAGCTGGAAACACACCCTCAGCCTCACTGCCCACACAGGTCAAGTCAGCTGGCAGGTGCACGAAGGTACAAAAATAGTACTTACACAGAAACATACTCTTAAAAAAAAAAAAAGCTACAGCTCACTTAGGGACTTAACTGTCTCACTTTTTAGAGGCTTTACCTCAAACAAATTAATTGCCTCTCCGCTTAGACATCATAAGTAAAGCTGTTCACATACACCATTATCAGTCACTGTTACAATGCAAAAATAAACTTAACTGCATATAACTAATACTAAAGCTTCTACCACTGAATTATACATTATACTTGGACCTTAAAAGAAGTCTCCAAAGAAACAGTACAAATTGTATTAGGAACAGCACCCTCATATACAAAAATCACAAATTACAGTAATAAAAAATTATTCACCAAATTGTATTACAATGTTAACAAATATTCTGGGACTTCAAGTTACATTGAACCAAAATGTAAATCAGAAGGATTTGCAAAAATACCAGGACTACTACATATAATGAAAACACCTGTAACATTCAAGCAAAAATAATTTTCCATTTAACATTTCCATCACTTTATATTTACACACTGCACTATTAAGCCGTGACAACTTTATACAGGCTTTTCTGCTCTTCCCACACGCTAGAAAAATCTCAGAGTTCTGGGCAATTTATGTTGCGTGTCTTACACTTTAAAGAATACAAATTGTATAGTCCTTCACATTTAAGATTTTAATCTCTGGAAGAAGGGCACTAAGGCTGAGTGCCTGAGGCTATTTCTTTCAAATGGGAATGAACAGAACTTTAAATGCCCTGCAGATGTGGAGGTCACAAAGTTGGTTAACAACCTCCCTTGTGTAGACTCCTTGAAGCAGTTTCCTGGTCCCTACCTGTTCTGTATCTACAATTAGACAATATCACAGTAGATTGTCAAATGGTATTTCTAAAGATTACCTTAAAACATGCAAGAACAACTATGTATTTCACCCAACCTTGTTTGAGGTAGGTGCATCCAGACAAATAAGAAAACCAGTATCACTGTCCTGGACAGTTAATGGCAAGGGGCGTTTCCTGTTAGTGACACTATTTCATACCAGGGGATAATTGCTGAGAACACCTCCTTTCTCCTCATACATTAACTCAGTAAAGGGAGTAAAGAGGACTTGATCACAGCTCATGATCCCATTGGAATACTAAGAAAACAATGAAAGACACCCATTCTCTCTTAAGTAAAGCCACATCATTGTTTTATACACACTCATTTTAGACACGTAATGGAATTAATACTTTCTCAGTACTACAAATTTCACACTAGCAAAATGCCTCTTTTGAACTCAAGCAGCTACTCCAGAAAACAATGCCTCTGCATTATGAGAGCATACTATCTGGGCACAGCAAGGGCAGTCACAGTGAAGGGAAAAATAAAAAGCATCTGCACATTTAAAGTAGGAATATACGAAATCTAAGGAAAAATATTTAAAAGGACTATCATTGTTTGTTCCCCAAAATTCCCACATCAAGATCAATACTTACACATGTCCAAATGTTAAGAACAATCTAATTATGTTCTGTTTATGCATCTACACAGCTTCTAATTGGTGTGAAAGTAGTTTATACTTGCAGCTATAACACATCATGAAAAGCCAGCATTTGTTTTTGCTGAATCCGAACATTACTATAAAAATATAAAATATCAAGCAACCTGAAAGATATTACACAAATATTGCTGCCTATTTACACCAAATAGAAAACTAGAACACCAACTCCATTAGCTGAGTTTCAAACAAAATCAGTAAATGCTACATTCATATTCAAGACCAGATCATGTTAAAGTTAAAAGCCACACAAGCACTTCCCAGTCTCAACCTCAGTTTCACCATACGCTGTTTCCTGCTGCCTCCCGCTTGCATTACTGTGAAACTTCCCATAAATAAAGTACCAACAGAAGCGTCTCCAATGTGTTTTTCTTTATATCAATTCAAGTAATATCATCCTTAAATAGTACTTACATTTTATGATACCCTAAGTGAGAAAACCAGCTCCCCCTGCCCCCAAGCGCACAGCCTGGCTGTACAAGTAATTGCCCTGGACGCACCATCAGCGAGATCACTCACATGGGCTGCTGGTTGCTGCAGACTGAGCAGCACTTGCTGGTGGCCTGTGAAAAACCGGTACACCTCAACACGGTCACTCCCCTATTTATTCCATAACTTTACATGACAGCTTAAAACCCAACTGTGACACAGTGAATGCCCTCGTGTCACTCCTGTTCCACCTGCACCAGTTCTGCAGCTGTTACTGACCTGAGCCTCACCAACTGCTTTTCTCTGCCACTTCCCAAGAGTAAAGAGCAGCATGAACGCTTTAAAAATCCAGAAGTTTAAGACTGCTACTCTGAATACGAAAAGATTCACAACCAGTCAGACTTGACGAGCTGTTTACAAGTCAGATGCGGCATGCTCTGAAAACCTACTGTCGTATCTACAGAGTCTATGCTTTTTAAGTCTTAATCACCACAGCTACAATAGTTAGAATACGCATGAGTCACAAGTGAAGTTTACATTAGTAGAACTCACTAAGATATCAGTATTTCACCTCTTCTAAACCTTTTAGGTTTTAGAATTATTTTTTGCTATCTCCTATAGCCCAAATAATCAGTGAGAAACAGAAAATAACTGTAGGGAAAGACTTCAACTTGAAATTGCAGTAACACTTAAAGTGCATTAAGAATAATTAAGCATAAAATTTAACTTGAATATTGATTTAATTACTACAGCACTGCAATATGTTCTGTAGTTTGTCACAACAGCTAAGACAGCGATGATGCACGACACTGTAAGAACAGAATTTTCTATACTTAAACCACTTTCTTCAGAACATCCAAAATATGACTCCCCGTGCAACACACCCTCTCGAAGTCGTTAACCAATATTTGCCACATACGCAGTTTAACCCTCAAGAAAACGGGAAGATCGCCGCAGCGCATCGCAACGCGCAAGTGCCCCCCATCCGACCACCGCGCTGTCTCCAAGCGGCACCCCCGACCTCCTCACCGAACACAGGTGCGCGCCCCGAACTGTAT